AAAACATCTATTTCCTTTTTCAGTTATGAAAGCATTATCTTTTGTCTAAATGGATGCTTCCTTGTTTATATCTGATGAGAAGAGGCAATTCTATTAGTTCTATCYACCTTTCCAGTCTTTTTCTGTGTACATTTATTCAATTTCCTCATGTTTATTTCTGATTTAAAGCACAGTGTTAATCTATCTTCATAACAGTATTTTTCCATGTCTAAGAGTCTTTGTCATCAGTTCTGGCCTTCTTCTATTTTTGCTATGTCATCCCTGGGGACATAAAATCTCTATAATAAATCGTAATGACAAAGTATAAATTAATTTAACATGCATTTGCACGCAATGATCCGCTTCCTCTAGGACTCTTGGTATTTCTTGAACTGACTTCCAGTTGATTCAACCAGCTGTCAATTTTTTTTAATAAGTTTATTTACCAAAAGTATTTTACTTTCTTCTCTTACACATTTTCTTTGGACAAAGGSATGCATTAACGAAGTTATATGCCAAGCCACAAACAGCTTTCCTATACATGTCAGTATTTCAAATCAAAGTGTTTTGTTATCAAGAAGAATTGAGCTTGGCTAGAGATAGAAGATTTACTTTCCCTTGTAGTGTTGTACCTCACCCTTCTATTGGTAAGCCTTAAAAGTTCAGAAAAGAAGGTTAGACCATCTTGGGGTGTTTTCTGGCCCCTAAACCAGATATATTTACATTTTGTTTTAAATGAGAAYTACATTAAAATCCCAAAAGAGTAAAATACAACCTTTTCCAAATTGTCTAGAACAGCTTTTCTGTAATACATGTGACTTACACACTCTGGTATATATAAGTGAAATATAAGTATTTCATTTGAATGAGCTTGGACTTTGTGATGACTTGCAGAACTTATGTACTGTAGTCATCCAGCAATCATATTCCTAAAAATTGTGTATTGTATCACACCATATGTATTCTCTCATACACATCACATATGTTTTAGCTTGAAGTTGGCCAGGGAACTGCTAGGAAGCATGGGAGAAAACATGAAAGTTTTGGTCTCCCTGGACTCTGGTATCACTGGTTGCTGAACCTTCCTCCCTTTCTGCAGTCCAGAAGATATAGCCCTGGTATTGCTTATTTTTGTGAACTTTGACAGGGTTATAGGCAGATGTACACAGTAAACACTCCAGAAAGCTAAGGCAAATTAAATTAAAAAGGCAGAACAACACAGTGTTTTTCCCCATAAGTCAGGAAGGGAGAATAATGGAGATATGACATCTASGCATTTAAATTTTCATGAGACAAATTCCTGACTGGGACTCTGGCACTATCAGGGTCCAGAAAGTGAAAAACACATGGGGGAAGGAATCTAGGAAAGGAYGTATGGATACTCCAGTGCCTACACTTTGTTCTGGCACAGTGCCATCAAAGCAGTTTTCAYCATGAAATGGCTAACAATGGGCCACTGCAGGGGAAGAGGGATGTCTCTCTAATGCTTGTGGTGTGTGCCTAACACGGTTGGGAAGTGGTGAATCTCATCACGCTACCAGTGGTYTCCAACAGCCTAGCTAAGCTCTGAGTACCAAGGCAGCTGAGAAGGTTGGCAGCAGTGGTGTATGTGTCATCTCCASCATAATATGGGTTTGTTCTTGCTTAGAACAGCAGCACTGCAGCCAGCTTCGTGTGTCAGGAAGGGTGACACACCCCTCGCATGAGATCCTGATTGTGGCACAGGTGACTGAGAGATGCCAGCAATAATAACTGGGATTTGAAAGGCAAATGCTGAGAGCTGTTGGGATGGATCCATTACCTGAAACCATTGTGCATGTACCTGAAAGTCTGGTAACATCCAAAGGTCCTGCAGCCTGGAGTCACTTAAGTACACTAAAGCCACAAARTGTCATGGAGTTACTTGGTACAATATAGGGAATCATCTCCTTATTGCTCTTTACTTTTCTCATTTTTGTAGTGTGTCTCCTGAGAGCATGGTTTAGGACAGCAAAATAACTTCATCCTTTTTTCTCCTGGGTCAAAGCCTGGAGTAAAACAGGAAAGGAGAAACATGTTTTTCAACAGCATAATGTTTTGCCAGGTCATGAAATGGCTGCTAAAACCATGTTGTCTGGCTTTGCTTTCAAAACAGCTCAGTCCTCCTTGGGAATCAGAGACAAAGGCTGCATTTTCTGTTACTTCTCTCACTTTTTTCCCCCAGCTCTGTGTTCCCTTAAGAGAGACAGGATCAGAGTTCAGAAGACGAGTCATCACTTTTTTTTTTCTCATAATGATATTTACAAAGATGTTCATAGCGTGTTAAATATCATGCAAGAAGTTTCTCAAACAGGATTTCAGAGCTTTCTCCTGAATACAGCTTATGAATACATGACAGTGTAGTCGCTTAGAGGAAAAAGCTTTGTATTTAAGTGTTTTGCATTCTTTTTCACCCTAGGCAGACCCAGTTGGCAGATGTCAGCTTCTTACTCTGGAAAAACAAATTTGATTAGTTGTATATAATTGATTTTAAAAGGAAATAATAAACTTAGAAGCCCAAATCTGTAGAACAGATCAGCAGAAAATAATATTCTTCTCAGAAGAATATGAGATAGTTCTCAGCCATGCCCTGGGGTCTTGAAGATAAATAGAAAATGTGAATTGAAATTCTCACCTCTCTAAAGTCAACTGGACTGATTGTCAGTGACCAAGATAAAGCCAGATTTTCACATTGAAGTTCAAGATCTTAGGAGAAAACCTAGGAGAAAAAAAATCAAAATTAATCAAAATAAAAAAGACCAAAGATACGTAGCTAATTTTGTGTGTATCAGGAATGTTGTGTGGATTTCTTAGTGAGACCAAAACTGAGCAGAATCGTAAGTACTTGCATGATTCAAACCTAATAGTAGAACTSTTGCTTCAGCCAGCCATAAGAAAAATAGCATAAGGAAGGCATTGGATTAAAGGAGGATCACKTGGTGACTAATAACTTATTTGATCTTTTCAAGGCCTAAATACAGAACTCAAATCAAATAAAATTATTGTTTTCTACTTAGAGTCACCCAAACATATGCCAATAGAAATTAGAAATATTTTTGTTTATAAATTTGAAGGAGTGAGAGGTTAAAGAACTAGTTATAAATTGACTTGGCTTTTTAGAAGAAATCTATGCTAAACCTGATCTGTCTTTAATAACTGAGAATGTGTTTTGTCTCCTATCCTCTTGAGATTTGGTTAATATTAATGCAAGCAAGATGTGGAAGGAAATTCTGTGCTTCACTTTTTAGTTGCTTTTAGTCTTGCAAGAGAAGGGATTGAAAATGAGATAAAGAAGACTTTGTTTGAAAACTTATTGCAAAACTACAGGCTCTTAGAGTCCTTACACACTTGTGCACTTGCTTTATGCTCATTGATATAATTTTGTGAAGTTCATTTTCAAGACAGAGGGTTAAAATTGCACTGGTGTAAATTCTGTGGTCCAAAGTGAAGTGAATGTATCTTTTGTGAGTTAGCTACAAATTATAGATAGCTACAGAGCATTCCTAAGTCATTACAGAAATCCTTAATCAGTACAAAAGAGTTTATAATTAAAATACATGATGCCTCTGAGGTTAGCTTAGTACATAGGACAYTTTATGACAGAAAAAGTAGTTTTCTCATTGCTTTGCAAATCTCGAATCTGTGGGTGTCCCTATGCCACTGCTGGGTGCTGAAGGCAGCAGGCAGCACAAGCTCCTGGCCTGCAGGAGCCCCAGGGAGAACCCTTTTCTGGTTAAGCAGGTAGGTGCACATTGCAGCCAAAATCACCCTCAGAAAATCATTGCTGCTGCCTGATTGCTGCTGCTTGGCCCCATAGGGATCAGGCAGTCAAAGCAAGACTTGCAAGTCTGTCATGAGGGATTCTTGAGTGTTTTGGCCTTTCATTAGTGAAATCATAGCAGCATTAAGCAAGAGAACAACCAAAAGTGATGTCTTAGAATAGTTTCCCGRTTCTTTAGACATCTGACCCTAACTCATAGATCAAAATAATGAATAAAGGAGTGCTTAGGTGGAGATTTTAATGGAAAAGTATCCTAGCACATCTGTCTGAAAACTAAGAATTGATAAAAATACCAGCTGGTCCATGGGGCATTGAATCTTGATCATTCAGCCATCAAACTGGGAGCTCCTGGCACTCAGTGGATTCCAGCTGGATGCACCAGGCTGTTGTGCCCGSTCTGCAGGGCTCCATGGCTCAGGGGAAGCAGGCCTGTGGTCCAGGCTGGGGAGCTGCTGTGCAGCATGCCTTTCCTGAGGGACACTTCGTGACCCGCGGGGTACACGGTGGGTCCATGGGTGGGTAAAGCAGCAGGTACACGGGCTGGTACTCGCATGGATGCATTGGCGGGTACACAGTGGGTACACGGGCAGGGTACCGGGAGGGTGCGCCAGGACCATTTGCAGAGTTGTCGGGCCGTCTATGGAGCTCTGCGGGTGCCGCTACTCCCAGCACCAGAAAGGTCCGGCTTCACCTCACAGTACCCCGCGTCACCCTCACACACATCCTGCTGCCACCGCTGGCCGGGCAGCGCCATCCGCACCCTGCCCAGCACCGGCGGCGCTCGGCGGGTCCTTCCCCTCGGGACCCCTCCCGTGCCTGCGGGAGGCTGCGGGGTGAGCGCGAAGGTGCTGCGGGCGGCCCCGGCCCGGCGCTGTTGCCGCGGTGATGACGGGCAGCCTCCCCTGGCCGTGCCCCCGCCCCGCAAACATGGCAGCGGCGGCGGCGGTGGCCGCGGTGGCTCCGACGGGGAGCGGCGGCAGGTGAGGAGCGGCGGGGGGCGGCGACTGTCCGACCCAGCCCTGACCTGCCCTGCCCGGCCCGGCCCTGACCGCAGCCGCGGCCCGCCGCTCCGCACCCCGGCTCCATCCGCAGGCCGGTGGGCGAGGCGGTGGCGGGGGGCGGGCTCCCGGCGCCGCCAGGCAGCTCCTCCCTCCCTCCCTCCGTGCCGGCCGGGAGCCCCCGGCGGGGTGACAGCCCTGCCGAGCGCAGCCGCCCCGGCCGGGGCTGCGGAGCAGCGCCCGCTCCCGCCTCGGCCCGCTCGCTGCCGGGACGCAGCGGGGCCGCCCCCGCGCCCGCCATGTGGAAGCTCAACAAGAGCAGCAAAGTTCTGCTGGACGACTCGCCCGAGGAGGAGGAGACGCGTCCCCGCGGGCCGCCGCCCGCCGCCGCCTTCGCGGCCCCCCAGGTAGGAGCGCGGAGCCCGGCTCCGAGGGGTCCTGAGGCTCGGCCCCGCTCCCGCTGCCGCTGCCCTCCTCTCCGGSGGCATGAGTAATCACTTTTCACACTCCGATGTGCCGGCAGGCTGGCCCTGGTCGGAGCTGGGAATGTTCGAGCGGACCGTGCCACTGTCACCCGATTTTTTGGGGTGCTGACTGGCCCATCCAGCCCGGTTTTCTTCCAGCAGCCGGCCTCCGGCGTTGCTGGGACTTGCTGTCCTTCATTCCAGTGGCTTCCTACCGCAGGCTACTTTCTCTCKCAGCACTAGGCAGGGGCACTGCAATCCATCTGTTAAGCACGATACATTTAGCAGGGATGTTTAAGAACACAACTTTATTTGCGTGTTTGTGTAGAGTACTGATGTTTTGGCAGAATTGCTTTTTTTTCTATGGTTTTGGTAATGGTAGTTCACTATCTTTAAATAGCTGCAATCTTGTTTGAAAGCTTTTGTTGTTAAGTGATAAATTAAATACCAACAGTGACCTTCTCAACAAATATAACCTGAAAGGAAGCGTATCAGTTGAGTATCAGGGAAAACAACTAAAAAAATGTTTGTTGACTTGCTTTCAAAAACTTGAYAGTAATCAGGTATCCATCCAGCTCAGAAGCCTGTTACACTGCTCAGTACAGCTTCATTGCTGATCTTCTGCTGCCACAGAGTTACTTTAGATATTGAATGAGAGGTTCTGAAGTAAGCAATTGCCCAAGGTTGCAAAACAGTGAGGTTTCTTTTCAAACGAAGGTACTAAAGCCTATCCAGCTTTCTGTTGCATGTTTGTCTTGCCTATCTTGCTGAAAGAGCTGGAGTGTGTCTGGATGAAGTATCCTCAGCTTGAGTTTCTGGTTGACAAGTGCTGTGGGTTGTCAACACATGTGGCGACTGCTCTCACAAGAGCAGCCTCTCCTGATCACAGCAGTTATTCTCTCCATCTTCCAGTAGCCAAAATCACCAGTTTAGCCTTGCCTTGTCCTCCCCACTGCACAGTAAACAGTGGAGACATAGCCCTTTCTACTTCTTTGACAGCAGCAGTTGTAGGATGAATAGAGATTTCCTGTGGAAGAAAAACAGACACTCATTTTGGAGTTACCCTTCAGAGGAGGAAGGGGGATTGTGGGTTTGAAGTCACCTGAAGTATCTCCCTCAGCTGCTCATAGGACATCTGCCCTCTGCCTCCTACAGTTCCTATCCTCAGGTGCTTGGAAACTTCCACTGTTTTTGCTAAGCTTGTGCTGGCATAGCCCTCGTGGACTTGCTTACCTCCTGAAACCCTCCCTCCTCAAACACCAAAGGTCACTGAAAGCTTCCAGTAAATCTCACTGTSACTTTACTGCTTTTCTACCACTAAYAGTCCAAGCCCTCTTTGAGGCTGCTGGCCATAGCCTCCCAGCCAGGAGAGGATTCTTTAGACTTCTGTCTAGACAGTTCTCCCAGCCCTCTACTTTATTCACAGAGGATGGAGTTTATTTATTTTATTTTGTCCAGTCCAATTGTCTTTTACTGTCCTGGACCTCTCTTCCATTAACTGAAGTCTCAGTTTATAATGGTGATGACAGTGATTTTTGGTGCAAATGGTTTGCATTTTCATAAATTTTAAGAAAATTCTTTTTCAACTCCCAGTGGAACTGGGATGCTGATTTTGGTGCTGGGGGTGGCAAGAGAAAAATAAATTATTCTAAGTCACTAAATGAAATATTCTTGAAGATRAAGGATTCAGTAAGGTTAGCACAACTGTAGTGTAGTTTGGCACAGAGGCTGGAGAGAAGATCATAAGCTGTTCGTTATTTTGCTTGTTAAAAACAAAATCTTTGGCAAGAAATGTAACGTCCTGCCCAAAATATTTAGTGGTAGTTATTCTAGAGTTTATGTACAGTTGAAGGAAAGATGGGCTATATAGAAAGCTCTGACCATTTGACTGACATTGTAATTGTCATGAGCAGGGCAGCTTTTAGGTCAGCCATTGGTACAGTGTATCTAAAACATGGCTGGGACAGATGTCAAGGGAAAAGCATGAGGTAACGAAGTTCACTTGTTCAGCTTGTTGTAGCTGATCTGGTTCATGTTCCTTGCTTTTACTATTTGAAACTTTTGGTGTTTTGTCAGATTCTTTCTTTTTCTCCTAATAATATGACTGTAAGGGAGTGAAATCCAGTAATGTGTAGAGGGATCTGGTAATGTCCTGCCCYCTCTGCTGCTGCATCCTGACCTGCATCAGCCAAGCCCCTGGCTTTGGAGGACAGTGGCACCATGAGAGCTTGGAGGAGCTACCGGGACAATTCTTGTGGTATCTTAGTTGTGCATGAGACAGACTGAGGGTCTTCCTCAGCCAAAGTTGTTATGGTACAGTCTGCTGTGATGAAGGATTACCTCATCAAGAAGTGGAGAATCCAGGACTTCCCTATTTTTTTATCRTTACAGCCAAAATCCAGATAATTAGTTTGAGTGCTTTTTGGTAAATTAAGAAGCCCAGCTTTAGATCTCATGCAGAAATTGACTGTTAGGTTTCATTTCCTTTTCTGATACATCATTTGGTAAAAGAGAAGATGAACCAGTCATCATGTTTTGACTTTGGTTTATGATATGTTGTTTTCCCAACAACCATCTTTTGTCTTTATTTTCATTTTTAATAAGCAAGTGGGAAGAAAATCCTTAAGCCTATAGCATTCACATTATAAATAAGGCTGAAACTTTTTACTTCAAAGGCAAGAAATTGGTAGTCACATCTGTGTCATTAAAGCAAACCACATTGAAAGTATTCCAGTATAATGAAATGTTGGTGCTGTATATTGTTTCTTCAAAGCTGAGAMAGAGTGAAGGAGTTCTCACTGTGCAACCTAATAATTAGGACATTGCAGTAGCAGACAGCAACAAAGAATTAGTCTACTATAAGTAAAAAAAAAAAGCTGAACACAAAAAGCCCCTTTGTTACTCTAGAGCAATTTTAATCATCCTATTTAGATATGGAAGCCTGATCTGGGCTTACTCAAGCAGRTATTTGAATTTGGAGAAGTCCATAGTTCTTGTATAGAAAAGCTTAGTTTGATCTAAAAAGAGAAGTTTTGACAGTTCTGATTTTGTGTTATACAGATTGGTTTGATTTTGTTCCAGGGRAGAACAAAAACAAATTTTAGAACATGAAAATTGCAAGGGAGGGAACTGTCAGCCTCTGACCACTTTTTAGCAAAAGTTTCTGCATACATTCAAGTACTTTGAATTGTTAACACTTATTTAAAATGGTAAGGTGTTTCCTGAGATAAGAAAGACAAGTAAATTTTGAAACAGTACTTGTGTAAATAAATGTGTGGATTATTGTGGGATTTTTTTTAGACCAGACAGTTTTAGACTGTATCTTAGAAGTTAATTTTAATTTATGCTTTAAAGCATAAATATTTTTTAATTTATGCAATGAAGGTGTTTTCTCAGTTAAGTTGYAATTAATTCATGAAAGTAACTTAACATGCATGAATAGTACAAATGTRTAAGATGAAATTAATGTGCTTTTTGTGTGTCTCTCTGAAAGTATGCTAGAAATGTACAGTGGTGCATGCCAAACTTGCGTTCAGTTTGGAATATAGTCATTATGTTTCAAACTGTAGTTGTATTTTTGGAAAGGAAAAACTGCTGGGTTTTGGTTTCTGGAAGGCATTGTTTTGGCAGTTGTGCTAAGTTCTCCTTGATGCAATCCTACCATCTAATCAGTTCTTAGAGAYGTCAATGCTGTGTCGATATCTCGTGTAACTCTGACGTAAAAGGGCACTCCACATTAAAATACATCTATATATTAGGGGAGCAGATGGGTGTCAGGCTGACCTATATTATCTAATGAAACTCTGTGTTTCATGTAAAAATATTTCAGAACCCTAGCCTTGATCTGTTCTCCCCACTTGTATTTTTTGTTATGTTCAAAGAGAATATGTGCAAAAACATGTTTTATGCTGAATTTTGTTTAGACTTGCTCAGGATGTTTGAAGGTTGGCTATACAGAATATTAGTTATCTCTTTTAATGAAGATGTTTAAGTGTCTGGTACARTTTTAATACTGGCTTTCATCTTGGAATGAGTTGAACTCAGACAAGCCCTGCAGAAATGGGTGGGAGCTGAGCAGTATTTATGCTTTACTAATATGTTGAATAAGGATATCTTTTAATTAAAAAAAAATAAAGCAGTCAATGTTAATCCAGCTAATGCCTTTCCTTCACTTTGTAGCCATAGGCTTTGCCAGCTGTACTCTAATGATTCCATCATACCTTCTCCTCTCTGCTAGCCTGGTTTTTTGCTATTCAGTGTTGTTGTTCATGTGACATTTCAGTGGCATTTCCCTGGCTAAAATCCATCACCTGTATTCTGTCATCATTCTTGAACATTAGATTGTGGTACTGTCAGAAAAGTCTTTCCTGAGCCTTCCTTGGCCTGCCTTTCTTGCTTTTCCTCTTTCTTGTCACATATCATCTTTCAGGAGCTTCTTGAATGGGTCCTGTTTCTTYCTCACAGTGTCTCTGGAGCTCTACAGAGCTGGCAGTATCTTTTGGAACTTTAGCCTTTCTAAGTTTTAAATCCTTTTCATTTTTTATATACTTCACTTTTTAATTTATGCTGTCATTTTTTTACATGGTTGACCGGGATCAGATCTGTTTCTCACCTCTTATCCCCTCTCTGTTGGCTTATTCTGACTCTTTAAAAGTCCACAAAGGATGTATTGTCTGGTTGGTCTCCTRCTACAGACACCATCAATATGTATTTTTTTTTCTTTCAGTCAAGCCTGTAACCTGCAGGTTGTCAGTGGTTTTTATCTATTGTGCAAAAAAGAACTTGTGTCCTAGACTTTACTGTTGTTTCCTCTATGAAGTCCAGGTCAGGTCTGATTTTTTTTTCTTTTTTCTTCCCTCTCTCCTTTCTTTTCTCTCTGTCTTTAAAAAAAAATATTTTACTTGCTGTCTAGACAGATGAAATTCTTGTTCAGRCCCTCACTT